TTGCGTGGCCAGCCTCTGCCTGACAGGCTCCCGGCTTCATCAGCGTCGCAGTCCACTAAATCCCCCGCCCTCCCTCTCGTCTTCTTCCCCGCCCCCTCCGCCCCGCCCCCAGCTCCTCCCTTTGCTGTTGCTGTTGCTCTCCCTCCGCCTCCCGTTCCTTCTCCTCCTCCTCCTTGCAGTGCAAGCTGTGCTGAAGTTGTGTTCCCGCCCACGCGCCGGACGGCGTACGGCTTGAGTGAGTGAGTGAGTATGTCATGGGCGCTGATATCCGTCGCCGCGGTATCGAGGAACACGTTGTCGAAGAATCCTGCCGGAAAGCATGCACCCAGTGTGTCAAAAAATCGCGATGATTTCTGCTGGCGGAACGTGGTGGTGCATGCCAGGCAGGAATGTGGCCGCCTGCTCTCTGAGCGAGCCATGGGCCTCCACGGCTTTGGCAAATATTACCGAAGATGGCTTGAGATGGCCTCCTAGACGGCGAAGACTGTACAAGATGGTATCCAAGACGGCCCAAGAGGGTCCAAGAGGCCTCCAAGTTTGCCCAAGATGCCTCCAAGATTGCCCAAGAGGTTCCCAAGACGGCCCCAAGAGGATCCGTAACCATTTTGGCTCAAGCCTCGCTAAGCCGGCCGGGTTGATTTATATATCGCGCACACTCAGATTTATTCGTAATTTTTCTTATACCGTTGCTGGCCTGCTCAATTTGTTCGGAATGGCGGCAATGTGGAAGGCAGCATGGGCGATCTTCCCGTTCATGATATTCGCGCCCTCGGCCGACGCACTCCTCCACAGTGCTTCCAAGGAGTCCGAGGCGGAGGATGCCACAGGAGACGCTTCCCGCACCCAACTACCCCCGGCATACGCAGGCTGAAGGTTTACGCGGTGTCGGGCGAACCGATCACGAACCCCACCGAGTGCGTCACTGCCGGCCGCCGCTCTGGGCTTGTGACGTGAACATGTGGCGACGGCTTCGATTTGCCGTTTATCAATGTGAACCAAAATCAGTACCACGACGGTTGCGTCCACCGCGGTGCACCTTACTCATTCACTCTTTACTTCATGGATCCTGTGACGCATCCATCGCATGTTCCAACTATGGACATGACTTCGTGGACCAGTTGGGATTTGTGCCACGCACCAACGCCAGCCCCGACGCCGGCCCCGACGCCCAACCCGACGCCGAACCCGACGCCCAACCCGACGCCCTACCCGACGCCGAACCCGACGCCAAACCCGACGCCCAACCCGACGCCCAACCCGACGCCCAACCCGACGCCAAACCCGACGTCTAACCCGACGCCCAACCCGACGCCCAACCCGACGCTGAACCCGACGTCCGCACCCACGCCGTCTCCGACTCCGGTTCCGACGCCGGCGCCTACGCCCGTGCCGACGCCAGCACCGACCACGCCGAGCCCGACGCCCAGCCCGACGCCCAGCCCGACGCCCAGCCCGACGCCCAACCCGACGCCCAACCCGACGCCCAACCCGACGCCCAACCCGACGCCCAACCCGACGCTGAACCCGACGCCAAACCCGACGACGCCCAGTCCGACGCCCAGTCCGACAACCAGCCCGACCCCCAGTCCGTCCTCGTCACCGACAAGCAGCCCAACGGCAGCGCCCATCAACAACGGCCCGACGGTCTCCGGTGTCGGCGACCCGCACCTCGTGAACACCTACGGCCAGAAATTCGATTTATTTCAGGCAGGGTACCACACATTAATCAACATCCCGAGGTGGGCGCGGCGGCGGGCCAACTTCCTCGTGCAGGCGAGGGCGAATCGTGCTGGGGCTGCGTGCGCTGATTTGTACTTTACTGAGATCAACATTAGTGGCATATGGGCTCAGCGTCACAAGGCGGCGGACCTGCGTTGGGTCGCCGAGGCCGTGAGGCCGGGCAAGGCCAAGTGAATGAAGTTCCACAAGACGATCAGCATCAAGATCGTGCAGGGTCACACCGTCCAAAACACGAGGTACCTCAACATCCTCGTGAAGGGGCTGGACAAGACCAAGGCCCCCGTGGGCGGCCTCCTCGGGGATGACGACCACACGGCGGCCACGACGTCAGACATTGGCTGCAAGAAGCTCGTGTCGTTGTGAGTCGGGGCGGCTCATATCATCATATTTGTAGCGCCTTCCTGGCATTCGCAGCGGGGCCTGGCCGGGCCCACATGCTGCAATTCGCAGCAGGGCCTGGCCGGGCCCAGCCGCTGCAGCGGCGCCCAGCACTGGATCGCATAAAACGCACCCCGCGCGTGCGAAACGCACCCCTCGCAGGCAGACGGTTGAAAGAAAAACGTTTGCACCACCTGAGCGCCGTGACAACTGATGACATGAACCCCCTCGCCCCCGACCTTAATATTGAGAGCGATCGCGCACGCTGCAACGGCACGTATATGTCATTTGCCGATCGGCCCCAGGCGGCGCAACAACTCTCAATATTAAGGTCGGGGGCGCGGGGGGGGGGCAGCAGCGCCATCCGGTTCGCAGTCAAGCCAAAGTGGTGCAACCATTTTTCTTTCAACAGTCGTCAACGGAAGAATGAGGAGTGACGGGGAGTGGGAAGAGAGCGGAGGAATGGCGAGGAGCAGCGGGGGTAGAATGGACGGGGGGGATGGGGAGTGGGGGGGACGCTGGAGGAGGCTGAAGGAATGGGGGATAGATGGAGGAATGGGTATTAACGGGTGGAGTGGAGGGGGAATGGCGAAGTGAAGTGGGAGGTAGTGCGGAGAAGTACGGAGGAGTGCGAATGAGTGGCCAGGAGTTGGGAGGAGTGGGGAGGTGCGTGGAGGAGTTAGGAGGGAACCGAATAGGATGGAATGGGGTGCCTCCGGCACGGACCTCGCCCAAGAGGGCCTCCAGGGAGGCCTCAAGAGGACCCGCGAGGGCCCAGGACAGCTCCATCTCTCTCTCTCTCTCGCGACATCTTGGGGGCGCTCGCATCCATGGCAGACGCGCTCGTATGCGAGAGGTCAGCGGGTGACTCCGCTGCGCGAGAGCTATAGGTTGCGAGATCCAAGCATGCGATGAGGAGGGAGGGCTCTGGTCTCGGTCTAAGCGCACGGTGGCGCGAGCATCGCGGCAGTCTGTTAATGTCTGACTGGCCAGAGTTTCTGATGATATTTGCGCGCAACACGTTCAAGATAAAGTGAATAACTGCACTCATAGTTCGCAGCAACTTGAATATAATTCGCCGGCCCAACGGGCGCCCAACGGGCCAGGGCGTGCTAAGATCTCCGGTACCTGGTTGACAGTATTTCTAGTTCGCGCGCGCGGGGCGGCCCCTGGGGGTCCCCGGACGAAAAGCACCCCGGCAAGGTCCCGGCAAGTCCCCGGCAAGTCCCCGGCAAGGTCCCGGCAAGGTCGGGCCAGAGATGCCGGAGTTCTGTTTCGGAGTCCAAGAGGGCTCCAGATCGGTCCAAGAGGGCCCCGAGAAGCTTTCTAGACGATCCACGAGAGGCCCGAGACAGCCAAAGATCGCCCGAAGACGCCCCAGATGGCCCCAAGACAGCCCAAGAGGCCTCCAAGACGCTCCAAGGGCCTTCCAAGAGGCCTCCGAAGAGGGCCCCCTGTCGCCAAAATCGTTGATTTTCATTGGTTTTGTCGATGTTTTTTGGCGTTCTGGCCTTTTGGCTTCCGGACGCTCCAAGAGGGCCCAAGAGGCCTTCAAGACTGCTCCAAGAGGGCCCAAGGGCGAGAAAGTGCCACGCCTGCTATGCCTGGACGACCGGCGCGTATAGAGACCGCAGCGAGAGACCACCCCCTGCGCACCCCCTATGGTGTCGAGAAAGTACCACGCCTGCTATGCCTGGACGACTGGCGCGTATAGAGACCGCACGAGAAAAACCCCCAAAAAGCCACCCCCTGCGCACCCCCTATGGTGTCGAAGAAAGTGCCACGCCTGCTATGCTGCACGACGGCGCTATAGTAAGACCGCAGCGAGAGACCACCCCTGCCAGCCCGTATGGTTTCGAGAATGCCACGCCTGCTATGCTGGACGACCGGCGCGTATAGAGACCGCCAGATCATAGAGACCGCAGCGAAAGACCACCCCCTGCGCACCCCCTATGGTGTCGAGAAAGTGCCACGCCTGCTATGCCAGGACGACCGGCGCGTATAGAGACCGCAGCGAGAGACCACCCCGGCGCACCCCCTATGGTGTCGAGAAAGTGCCACGCCTGCTATGCCTGGACGACCGGCGCGTATAGAGACCGCAGCGAGAGACCACCCCCGGCGCACCCCCTATGGTGTCGAGAAAGTGCCACGCCTGCTATGCCAGGACGACCGGCGCGTATAGAGACCGCAGCGAGAGACCACCCCCTGCGCACCCCCTATGGTGTCGAGAAAGTACCACGCCTGCTATGCCTGGACGACTGGCGCGTATAGAGACCGCAGCGAAAGACCACCCCCTGCGCACCCCCTATGGTGTCGAGAAAGTGCCACGCCTGCTATGCCAGGACGACTGGGGCCACGCCTGCTAGAGCAGGACGACTGGGGCGTATAGAGACCGCAGCGAGAGACCACCCCCTGCGCACCCCCTATGGTGCCGAGAAAGTGCCACGCCTGCTATGCCAGGACTGGTGTCGTCTTGTGTGTGCGAGTGTGTGCATGCGTGCGGCTGTATGTAGACGCGTGTCGCCGAGACGTGCTGTGCTGTGCTCTGCTGAGCTGTGCTGTGCTGTCCTATGCTGTGCTGCGGTCTGTTGTGCTGTGCTGCGCTGTGCTGAGGAGGAGGAGGAGGAGGAGGAGGAGGAGGAGGAGGAGGAGGAGGAGGAGGAGGAGGGAGGAGGAGGAGGAGGGGAGGGAGGGCGGGTGTGGTGGAGATGCTGGAGTGGCGCGGCAGGAATAAACCAAAACAAACGAAAGCATGTGGGGGAAAAAATCGGAGGATGTCTCGAGCGAAAAGCTTGTTTGGCAAAACTTGAGGGACCTGGGCGCCCCAGCATGCCCCAGCAGGCCCTGGGAGCGCGGACGCGGTGTAATCTACGAGGGGTCGTGGCGGTGGGAGCGCGGACGACGCGCAATTTGCGAGGGATCGTGGCCCTCGGAGCGCGGGCGCAGCGTAATTTTCGAAGGGGTCGGGGCCTTGGGAGCTCGGACGCAATATAATTTCTGATGGATCGTAGCCCTTGGAGCGCGGGCGCAGCGTAGAATACGAGGGATCGGGGTCCTGGGGGCTCGGACGCAGCGTAATTTACGAGGGATCGTAGCCCTGGGATCGCGGACGCAGTGTAATTTACAATGGGTCGGGGCCCTGGGAGCGCGACCCCAATGTAATTTACGAGGGATCGTGGCCCTGGGAGCGCGTCCCGTGGCACGTCCATTGGCACGTTCCGTAGCGCGTCCCCTCGGCACGTCCCGCAGTGCGTTCCCATGGCACGTTCCCTGGGACGTCGCCTGGCGCGTCCCTTGAGACGGTCCGCGGCGCGTCCTTCTGGCATGTTCCCTTGTCAATTAGCTCTGGGGCAGCTACTAAGTGCTCAGGCAGCTCGAGCTTAAGGTCCAGATCAGTTCGGTCAGGACTCGGGCGCAAAGGAGGACTCGATCCACAACGCTATAGAGCACAATCGCGGCATGGCACATCGCAGTTCAGCACAGCGCAGCACAGCACAGGCCTCTGCACGGTACATCAATATCGATACAGTCAGCATTGCAACCTGGCACGTTCCGTGGCGCGTCCCCTTTGCACGTTCCCGCCTGCGTCCCGTGCGCGTCCCGTGCCATCGTCCATTGTCAAAGTTCCGTAGCGCGTCCCCTTGGCACGTCCCGCGGTGCGTCCCCATGGCACGTCCCCTGGCACGTCGCCTGGCGCGTCCCTTGGGACGGTCCGCGGCGCGTCCTCCTAGCAGGTCTCCTTGCCAATCAGCTCTAGGGCAGCTACTATGTGCTCAGGCAACTCGAGCTTACGACCCAGATCAGATCGGTCAGGACTCGGATGCAAAGGAGGACTCGATCCACAACGCTATAGAGCACAATCGCGGCACATCGCAATTCAGCACGACGCTGCACAGCACACAGGCTCTCGGCACGGTACATCAAGAGCGATACAGTCAGCATTGCATTTGCCGTCGCCCAATCATGTGTCTTTTGAAACGTTGCCATGTCCTTACATTCTATATCCTTTCCGGGTTCGTGGTTCGATCGTGGTTCCAATCTACTTTAAAGCGCCTCCTATTTCAATGATCCGAGTGGCTTCACCTTTTCCGTCCCTTCTTAGGGGGCGGACGGAACCCATCTATTTTCAACGCCTTCTTACTTCAGGTTTCCACCTTTCTTCCGACCGATGGGTACATCGATAGCACTGCCTGCGTTTCTGTCTCGGCCCTGTATGTTGCGCCATTCACTTGTCCCGTTCCGGTACTGTATTGTCAACCTCGGGGCCCCAGCAGAAATGTTAGACTCACCAGTTTTCTGCGAGTTGCGTGCCAGCCTCTGCTGACAGGCTCCCGGCTTCATCAGCGTCGCAATCCACAAATCCCCCGCCCTCCCTCTCGTCTTCTTCCCCGCCCCCTCCTCCCCGCCCCGAGCTCCTCCCTTTGCTGTTGCTGTTGCTCTCCCTCCGCCTCCCGTTCCTTCTCCTCCTCCTCCTTGCAGTGCAAGCTGTGCTGAAGTTGTGTTCCCGCCCACGCGCCGGACGGCGTACGGCTTGAGTGAGTGAGTGAGTATGTCATGGGCGCTGATATCCGTCGCCGCGGTATCGAGGAACACGTTGTCGAAGAATCCTGCCGGAAAGCATGCACCCAGTGTGTCAAAAAATCGCGATGATTTCTGCTGGCGGAACGTGGTGGTGCATGCCAGGCAGGAATGTGGCCGCCTGCTCTCTGAGCGAGCCATGGGCCTCCACGGCTTTGGCAAATATTACCGAAGATGGCTTGAGATGGCCTCCTAGACGGCGAAGACTGTACAAGATGGTATCCAAGACGGCCCAAGAGGGTCCAAGAGGCCTCCAAGTTTGCCCAAGATGCCTCCAAGATTGCCCAAGAGGTTCCCAAGACGGCCCCAAGAGGATCCGTAACCATTTTGGCTCAAGCCTCGCTAAGCCGGCCGGGCTGATTTATATATCGCGCACACTCAGATTTATTCGTCATTTATCTTATGCCGTTGCTGGCCTGCTCAATTTGTTCGGAATGGCGGCAATGTGGAAGGCAGCATGGGCGATCTTCCCGTTTACACATATAACGGCGCACCGGGTCCGGGGGCCCGGGGCCGGGACCCCGACCACAAATGTGCGCCCCGGGGGGCCCGGAGGCTCGTCGGGGCTTGCCGGAGGCCTCCCCAGTCAGACAAGACGGCCCAAGAAGCGCCCAAGACGGCCCAAGAAACTTCCAAGAGGCCTCCAAGAGGGCTCCGAGATGCTGAAGATGGCCTCCAGACGTCCAAGGACGCCCCCAAGAGGCCCCAAGAAGCCTCCAACATGCGTCCCAAGAGGGCCCCTAGACGCAAAAATTGGCCCATTCCCTTCGTAAAACGTACATTTTCAACAAAGTTGTCTTTTGGGCTTTCCGACGTTACAGGACGGCCCAAGAGGCGCCCAAGACCGCCCCAAGACGGCCCAAGAAGCTTCCCAGAGGGCCCCAGGACAGCCCAAGAGGGCCCCAAGACGGCCCAAGAGGCGCCCAAGATGGCCCAAGAGGGCCCCAAGACGGGCCCAAGAGGGGGCCCAGAGGGGGACCACGAACCGCAAGCTCGAGCCTTCCGCCCCAAGAGGCCGCCAGGAGGCCCCCAGGAGGCCCCTCAAGAGGCCCCAGGAGACCCCCAAGAGGCCCAAAGGAGGCCCCGAGAAGCCCCAAATCGGCCCCAAAATGCTTCGAACCTGCTTCCAGGAGGCCCCCGACAGGTTCAGAGGCTCCCGAGAAGCTACGTCAAACTCCCAGCGAGCGGCCGGACGAGGCCCCCCAAAAAATCCCAAGAGGGTTCCAGTATTTGTATCCTTCAGCGCTCTCTGGCCTTCTTCCCCCTGCCCCCTTCCCTGCGACTTTCGTTGACTCAAGCTCGCCTCCTCTCCATTTCCTCTCTCTGCCTCTCTCTCTGTCTGTCTTCTTCTTCTCTCTCTCTCTATATATATCCATCTCTCTCTCTCCTTCGCTCTCTGTCTGTCTGTTTCTCTCTCTCTCTCTCCCTCTCTTTCTCTCTCTTTCTCGTTCTTCCTTTCAGATTCCGTGTCCTTGCGACCTTCTGCAGTCCCCGACGTCGCCACGGCTGGATCCGCTCGAGCGTGTCTTGTGATGTGCGGCGGAGCGAAGCCCGTCCCACTGATCAAGGCACAGGTGCGAAATGATGGATCCATCATTTCTTGCCTTGCCATGTGCGTTTTCCCAATCGATTCCTGGGCCCGAGGTCGCAAAAATTACGACGTCGGAGGTCTGGGGAGGCGGGAAGCACGACCTGGACCTCCGACGTCTTGGAAGAATCACGACGGCGGTTTCGGCCAATTTTCGGCCTCCGGGGCCCCTCGCAGGGTCCCGGGACCGTCAGAAAACGATTCAGGATGAAATTATCCCGGCAAAGCAACCTAACAGCGATGTGTAGGAGCATATCTGGAAGCATCCCCCTTACGATTCAGATGAGAATCCAGTTGTAGAGTTCTGCTGTTCTCGCAGTCGTAGTCGCATTCGCGATGACAGTCGCAGTGGCGTGCATTAGCCTCAGCCTCAGCCCCAGCCTGCCTCAGCATCAGCCTCAGCCTCAGCTTCAGCCTTCAGCCTCAGCCTCAGCCTGATCCTGCATCAGCCTCAGTCTGCCTGCAGCCTCGGCCACAGCTTCAGCCTGCCTCAGCCTGAGCCTGCCTCAGCCTCAGCCTCAGCCTCAGCCTGCCTCAGCATCAGCCAGCCTCAGCCTCAGCCTCAGCCTCAGCCTCAGTCTAGCCTCAGCCTCAGCCTGCTTCAGCCTCAGCCTCAGTCTGCCTTCAGCCTCGGCCTCAGCCTCGGCCTGCCTCAGCCTCAGCCTGCATCAGCCTCAGCCTCAGCCTCAGCCTGCCTCAGCCTCAGCCTCAGCCTGCCTCAGCCTCAGCCTCAGCCTGCTTCAGCCTCGGCCTCAGTCTGCCTTCAGCCTCGGCCTCAGCCTCAGCCTGCCTCAGCCTCAGCCTGCATCAGCCTCAGCCTCAGCCTCATCCTGCCTCAGCATCAGCCTGCATCAGCCTCAGCCTCAGCCAGCCTCAGCCTCAGCCTCAGCCTGCTTCAGCCTCAGCCTCAGTCTGCCTTCAACCTCGGCCTCAGCCTCAGCCTGCCTCAGCCTCAGCCTGCATCAGCCTCAGCCTCAGCCTCAGCCTGCCTCAGCATCAGCCTGCATCAGCCTCAGCCTCAGCCTGCCTCAGCCTCATCCTCAGCCTGCTTCAGCCTCAGCCTCAGTCTGCCTTCAGCCTCGGCGTCAGCCTCAGGCTGCCTCAGCCTCAGCCTGCATCAGCCTCAGCCTCAGCCTCAGCCTGCCTCAGCATCAGCCTGCCTCAGCCTCAGCCTCAGCCTGCCTCAGCCTCAGCCTCAGCCAGCTTCAGCCTCAGCCTCATTCTGCCTTCAGCCTCGGCCTCAGCCTCAGCCTGCCTCAGCCTCAGCCTGCATCAGCCTCAGCCTCAGCCTCAGCCTGCCTCAGCCTCAGCCTCAGCCTGCCTCAGCCTCAGCCTCAGCCTGCTTCAGCCTCAGCATCAGTCTGCCTTCAGCCTCGGCCTCGGCCTCGGCCTCAGTCTCAGCCTCAGCCTCAGCCTGCTTCAGCCTCAGCCTCAGCCTCAGCCTGGCTCAGCATCAGCCTGCCTCAGCCTCAGCCTCAGCCTGCCTCAGCCTCAGCCTCAGCCTGCTTCAGCCTCAGCCTCAGTCTGCCTTCAGCCTTGGCCTCAGCCACAGCCTGCCTCAGCCTCGGCCTGCATCAGCCTCATCCTCAGCCTCAGCCTGCCTCAGCATCAGCCTGCCTCAGCCGCAGCCTCAGCCTGCCTCTGCCTCAGCCTCAGCCTCAATCTGCCGTCAGCCTCGGCTTCAGTCTCAGCCTGCCTCTGCCTCAGCCTGCATCAGCCTCAGCCTCAGCCTGCCTCAGCCTCAGCCTGCCTCAGCCTCAGCCTCAGCCTCAGCCTGCCTCAGCCTCAGCCTCAGCCTGCTTCAGCCTCAGCCTCAGTCTGCCTTCAGCCTCGGCCTCGGCCTCGGCCTGCCTCAGCCTCAGCCTGCATCAGCCTCAGCCTCAGCCTCAGCCTGCCTCAGCATCAGCCTGCCGCAGCCTCAGCCTCAGCCTGCCTCAGCCTCAGCCTCAGCCTGCTTCAGCCTCAGCCTCAGTCTGCCTTCAGCCTCGGCCTCAGCCTCAGCCTGCTTCAGCCTCAGCCTGCAATCAGCCTCAGCCTCAGCCTCAGCCTGCCTCAGCATCAGCCTGCCTCAGCCTCAGCCTCAGCCTGCCTCAGCCTCAGCCTCAGCCTGCTTCAGCCTCAGCCTGAGTCTGCCTTCAGCCTCGGCCTCAGCCTCAGCCTGCCTCAGCCTCAGCCTGCCTCAGCCTCAGCCTCAGCCTGCCTCAGCATTCAAAATGTGGCCCGGGAATGGAATTCTGGGAACTCGAAGAACACGAAGTGGCCTACAGTTGGCTCCGGGCATTCAAAATCATGCCCAGGAATGGAGTTCTGGGAACTCGAAGACCACGAAATGGCCTACAGTTGGCTCCGGGCATCCAAAATGTGGCCCGGGAATGGAGTTCTGGGAACTCGAAGAGCACGAAGTGGCCTACAGTTGGCTCCGGGCATCCAACATGTGGCCCGGGAATGGAGTTCTGGGAACTCGAAGAGCACGAAGTGGCCTACAGTTGGCTCCGGGCATTCAGAATGTGGCCCGGGAATGGAGTTCTGGGGTGTCAAGTACGAGGAATTGTGTGACTGTTGCGTCCGGCTATTCCGAATGTGGCCCGGGAATGGCGTTCTGGGAACTCGAATACCACGAAGTGGCCTACAGTTGGCTCCGGGCATCCAAAATGTGGCCCGGGAATGGAGTTCTGGGAAATGGAAGAGCACGAAGTGGCCTACAGTTGCATCCGGCCCTCCAGAATGTGGCCTGGGAATGGAGTTCTGGGAAGTCGAAGAGCACGAAGTGTGTGACTGTTGGTGAAAAACGAGCGGGGCCCCCTGCCGCCCGGCAACTCCCAACGCCTGCCCGGACCCCCCTGTGGAGTGATCTGTGAGCTCTTTTTACCCTACTAGAAACCTATCAGTCTTCGCTGTTAGGTATTATCCCGGCAAAGCAACCTAACATCGATGTGGTACTGTGCAACACCACGGCACTATCTCTACACTCAGATGGATTAAGCAACCTAACAGCGTTGTGTAGAAGCATATATGAAAGCATTCCCCTTAAGATTCAGATGAAAATCCAGTTGTAGAATTCTGCTGTTCTCGCAGTCGTAGTCGCATTCGCGATGACAGTCGCAGCGGCAACGGCAGTCGCAGTCACAGCCTCAGCCTCAGCCTGCCTCCTCCTCCTCCTCCTCTTTCTCCTGCTCCTCCTCCTCCTCCTCCTCCTCATCGTGGCCATCTCGGACGAGCTCGAGACCTTCAAGCAGGAGGTCCAGACGCTCCGCGAGGGCGACGAGGCGCAGCAGGCAGCGCTCAAGACTCTCGGATCGCCGACTGCCTCTCTCGTCCTGGCAGTAGTCGAGGCCCTGATCGGCTGCGACATCGGCGGCGCGTGCAAGAAGATCCTGGAGGCATGGCTCATCAGGGCCAACGGGGCGCCCGAGGACGACACCACGATAGCGAAGACCACGATCGAGGACGCGGTCACTTTCATCAGGCTCGAGAAATGCCACGAGACGAAGAACACGAAGATCCTCTTCGCCATGAACGAGTGGGACATGCGCCCACACATCCTCGCCGCCCTCCGCTGCGAGGGCTCGGCCATCATCCATACGGGGGTCATGCCAGCGGGCTGGCTCGAGGAGGAGCTGTCGACGTGGCTCGACGCGCTCGCTCAGTAGACGGAGCTCCTGATGATCACGAACTGAAGGCGCCTGTGCTACCTCTGTCGCGTGGCCCCGCCGCGCGTGACCTCTCTCTTCCCATCCTCTTTGTTCGTTCAAGCTCGCCGCCTCGCGCGGCACCGGTCCAGACACCAGTCATCAGCATTAGATACGCTCGCCCGTCGGCCGCACCCACAGACTCACACGGCGATCGGGAGGTTGAATCGCCGAGTCTAGGAGCTGAGGTCGCCCCAGAGCATGACTTCTCGGCCGACGAAGCGGCGGCAGCAGACTTCGGACTATAGTTATCTTCTGACAGATACCATTCATCGTATAGTTGTGTGCAGAGATCGGGCACCGTGATGGCTGTCACGGAGTCTGCGCTTGAATCCCTCTTCATTGTAGTGCCGCCACCCCTCACCCCGCACAGCCAGCCACGCCGCTCGAGCACCTGCCTGTGCACGCGCTTTGCGAGTTACGGAGTCCAGCCCTCCGTGCGACGGGATTCTTTTCGAAGCGGTGGTATAGCCATCGAAGCCTTCTTTTTGCAAGACTCCAGCCATCCATTCAGGCCAGAGCACTCATCCCAGATGTCGACGAATAAAAAAGTCCTCCTCGTCTTGCTCGTCCTCCTCCTCCTGGTGCTCTCTCCTCCTCCTCCTCCTCCTCCTCCTCCTCCTCCTCCTCCTCCTCCTGGTGGTCCTCGTTCTCCTCCTCCTGGTGCTCTCCCCCCCCTCCTCCTCCTCGTCCTCCTCCTCCTCCTCCTCGTCCTCCTCCTCCTCTTCCTCCTCCTCCTCCTCCTCCTCCTCCTCCTCCTGGTAGTCCTCCCCCTCCCCTCCTCCTCTTCCTCCTCCTCTTCCTGGTCGTCCTCGTTCTCGTCCTCCTCGTCTTGCTCGTCCTCCTCCTCCTGGTGTTCTCTCCTCCTCCTCCTCCTCCTCCTCCTCCTCCTCCTCCTGGTGGTCCTCGTTCTCCTCCTCCTGGTACTCTCCCCCCCCTCCTCCTCCTCCTCCTCGTCCTCGTCCTCCTCCTCCTCCTCCTCCTCTTCCTCCTCCTCCTCCTCCTCCTCCTCCTCCTCCTCCTCCTCCTCCTGGTACTCCTCCCCCTCCCCTCCTCCTCCTCCTCCTCTTCCTGGTCGTCCTCCTCCTCCTGGTCGTCCTCCTCCTCCTGTTCGTCCTCCTCCTCCTCCTGCTCGTCCTTCTTCTCCTGCTCCTCCTGCTCCTCGTCCTGCTCCTGCTCGTCCTCGTCCTCCTGGTCTTGCTCGTCCTCCTCCTCGTCGTGCTCTTGCCCCTGCTGAAATTGTGGCCCAGGAATGGAAGTTCTGGGAAGTCGAAGAGCACGAAGTTGCCTACAGTTGGCTACGGGCATTCAAAATGTGGCCCGGGAATGGAGTTCTGGGAACTCGAAGAGCACGAAGTGGCCTACAGTTGGCTCCGGGCATTCAAAAGGTGGCCCGGGAATGGAGTTCTGGGGACTCGAAGACCACGAAGTGGCCTACAGTTGGCTCCGGGCATTCAAAATGTGGCCCGGGAATGGAGTTCTGGGAACTCGAAGAGCACGAAGTGTGTGACTGTTGCATCCGGCCCTCCAGAATGTGGCCCGGGAATGGAGTTCTGGGATCTCGAAGGCGTTCTGGGATCTCGAAGAACACAAAGTGTGTGACTGTTGATCCGGGTATTCAGAATGTGGCCTGGGAATGGAGTTCTGGGAAGTCGAAGAGCACGAAGTGTGTGACTGTTGATAAAAAAACGAGCCCGGCACCCTGCCGCCCGGCAACTCCCCAACACCTGCCCGGACCCCCCTGTGGAGTGATCTGTGAGCTCTTTTGAGTCAACTAGAAACCTATCAGTCTTCGCTGTTAGGTAAAAATACAGTTGTCGAATTCTGCTGTTCTCGCAGTCGTAGTAGCATTCGCGATGACAGTCGCAGCGGCAACGGCAGTCGCAGTCACAGCCTCAGCCTCAGCCTGCCTCCTCCTCCTCCTCCTCCTCTTTCTCCTGCTCCTCCTCCTCCTCCTCCTCCTCTTCCTCCTGCTCGTCCTGGTTCTCGTCCTCCTCGTCTTGCTCGTCCTCCTCCTCCTGGTGCTCTCTCCTCCTCCTCCTCCTCCTCCTCCTCCTCCTCCTGGTGGTCCTCGTTCTCCTCCTCCTGGTGCTCTCCCCCCCCCTCCTCCTCCTCGTCCTCCTCCTCCTCCTCCTCCTCGTCCTCCTCCTCCTCTTCCTCCTCCTCCTCCTCCTCCTCCTCCTGGTAGTCCTCCCCCTCCCCTCCTCCTCCTCCTCCTCCTCCTCTTCCTGGTCGTCCTCGTTCTCGTCCTCCTCGTCTTGCTCGTCCTCCTCCTCCTGGTGTTCTCTCCTCCTCCTCCTCCTCCTCCTCCTCCTCCTCCTCCTGGTGGTCCTCGTTCTCCTCCTCCTGGTACTCAGGAAAGCCCAGGAATGGAGTTCTGGGAAGTCGAAGAGCACGAAGTGGCCTACAGTTGGCTCCGGGCATTCAAAATGTGGCCCGGGAATGGAGTTCTGGGAACTCGAAGAGCACGAAGTGGCCTACAGTTGGCTCCGGGCATTCAAAATGTGGCCCGGGAATGGAGTTCTGGGAACTCGAAGAGCACGAAGTGGCCTACAGTTGGCTCCGGGCATCCAAAATGTGGCCCGGGAATGGAGTTCTGGGAAATGGAAGAGCACGAAGTGGCCTACAGTTGCATCCGGGTAAGAATGTGGCCCGGGAATGGAGTTCTGGGAAGTCGAAGAGCACGAAGTGTGTGACTGTTGGTGAAAAACGAGCCCGGCACCTGCCGCCCGGGCTCCCGGACCCTCCCTCTGGGATCTCAAGAGTTCTGGGAGTTGAGAAGAGCACGAAGTGTGTGACTGTTGCATCCGGGAATGTGGCCCGGGAATGGCGTTCTGCGAAGAGCGTGTGTGACTGTTGCATCCGGGAATGTGGCCTGGGAATGGAGTTCTGGGAAGTCGAAGAGCACGAAGTGTGTGACTGTTGGTGAAAAACGAGCCCGGCACCTGCCGCCCGGCAACTCCCAACACCTGCCCGGACCCCCCTGTGGAGTGATCTGTGAGCTCTTTTGAGTCCACTAGAAACCTATCAGTCTTCGCTGTTAGGTAAAAACACATCCCCAGGAAGTCGTCGAGAGGTCCAGGGGCCGCGCACAGAAAGCATCACGACATCGGACGTCCAGAGAGGAGGTAGGAACACGAGGAGGAGGGAGCCCATACCTCCTGGCGACGCAACACCAAATACAACAAAAGCTTCCCCGCGACTTTCCCCAGAGACTAACTACAGAAACTCCTTTCGTATTCTGGCCAGAAGCATCCAGAAACGATGTACATTAGCCCTGGCGGGGGGAATGATGGCGATGGTGATGTTCATGATGACGACGGTGACGATCCTAGCTAGAACCACGCGCGCGCTTCGCGCTCCAAGGCTGCGCACGAGTGGCCCAGGACGGCCCCAAGACGGCCGAAGAGAGCCCCAAGACGAGTTCGAGAGGGGTCCCAGACGGAGAAAGCCAACCTCGAATTCCGAGCTTCCGGCCCAAGAGGCTCCAGGAGGCGCCAAAATGCCGCCAAGAGGCGCCAAAAGGCTCCCAAAAGCACCCCAAGACGTTCCGAGAGGCACCCCAAGAGAGGTCCAAGAAACAAAAATCGTGCCATTCCTATTTTCTCTTAGGGCGTTCGGCTCCGAAGCTGGAAAACACGACCCAGAGCAGGAGGGTTGAGAACAGTACTACCAGCACTGGTGTTTCACTCTTTTGCTTCCTCTTGCTCCTCGAGCCGACAGTCGGCGCCGCGTATTGACGGTGCACGCGGGCTCAGAGGAGCCCTCGGTCTGCGTCAGGGGCTGCGGCCTGCAGGCCAGAGGGAGCTTAGTTTGCGATGGCATGGTCTTGGCGTGTCGGGGCCGCTTCGTTTGAAGGGGGCATATCTGATTTGCTCGTTGTATGGAGTTAGCGGTCGAGCATGCGAATCAGAATCCCCGCCCTTGCATATCGAAACATGCCAACCTATGCTGTAGTATGCTGTCTCATTCACATACATATACATATACATATATTCCTCTTCCTATATTTTTACAAGCCCGGGCGGCCGCAAAACCCCGCACCCCCCCCCCCCCCCAAACCGGACTCCAGGGATCTTGGGGCTTTGGGACCCTCCGGACGCCCATTGAAGCGGTCCCGAGTGCCTCAAGAGCGCTCCAAGACAGGCACAAAGCGCTCCAAGACGCCAAAGATAGCCCCAAGACAGCCTCAGGAGCCCCCAAGACGCCCCAAGCGGCCCCAAAGAAGCCTCCCAAGACGGCCCCGGGAGGCCGAAATGGTCAATTTTCCAATGTGTTTTTCGATGTTTTCTGCTTTCTCGCCATTTTAGCTTTCCGACGCTCCAAGACAGAACTAGAGGCCCTCAAGAGCGCCCCAAGATGGCCCGGGCGGCGCCCAAAACGGCCCCAACACGGCCCCAAGACGGCTCTGGAGCGCCCCGAAACAGCCCAAGAGGCGCCCAAAAGGGCCCAAGAGGGCCCCGAGAAAGCTTCAAACGAGCCCCCACAGGGCGATCAAAAGTTCAAACATCTAACTTTTCGCCCCAAGTGGGCCCCAGGAGGCCCCAGGAGGGCCCCAAGAGGCCCCAAGAGGCTTCCAAAGGCCCCGAGGACTCCCAAAAAGAACCCACGAGGCCCCAAAATGGCTCTCCAAAAGGCAGCCAAAACGGCCCCCCAAGAGGCTTCAAAACTGCTCAATCGCCCCACTTGACCGCCACCTCCGGAACGGCTTCGCTGCGCTGCTCCGTTGTTTGCCAGACAGTGGCATCCCACGCAAAACACCAAAATGCTTGAAATCCCGGGTTCGCAACCAAATTCCCGGGAAATCGGCTGCGAACCCGGGATTCGGCACATTTCCCCGGAATTCGGTAGATGTCCTGAGCATTTCCAGGATCTGGTACGTTGCCTGCATGCTTGCTGCCCTATGCCCTATCGCATCCCAGAATAATCGTTCCATGGAGGTTTCACGAGGGCCCTTCCAA